TGAAACATGCTGTTCAAATTTACGTATTGCTTAAATAGCCGTTCAAAAACCTCACCTCACCATTCTCACCCTCGCCTCACCCTCCACCAGCCGCCGCCGCTGCCGCCGTGACGTACCCCTCACCCTCACCTCGCCTGGCCGCCGCCGCTGCGCTACGTTTGTGACATGCCCCTCACCCTCTACCCTCACCCAAAGCCGCCGCCGCCGCCGCCGCCCGATCGCGTACGTGCGCGGCATATACTATCAGTCATCACTGTTATCCATTTGTTATCGGTATCCTTATAATCATTTGTTATCGAACATTAATCAACAAACTGGTGAAAAGAATTACGAATAAGTGATCGGGTATCGAACCCGGACTTACCTTTCACGTGAGATATGATCACCACCCCGCCATATATACTGAGATAAGATTATTCTTATCTATTTAACAGAGTTATCCCACCGCCGCCAGACTCTATCAGGTCCCGCACTACGTAACCGAGGACAATTTGCCGTCAGATGTCACCAATTATCATTTGTTATCGGATTCTCATTTTCTTAGCCAAAACGTTTATCTGTTATCAGTTATCACAAATATTTTCACCAGTTATCAAATAAATAGTATCAGTTATTATTTTCGCGCGCATAGTATCAAGTAAAATATTCAAACAACATGCGGTTCCTCTACTATATTTGGGAAAATAATATTCAAAAATGTAAAAATTGTCACCCAGATATATGTATTATAAAATGATCATTAACACCTCTCACATATCATCCAACACATCGACTATATCGATTAGAACATTACGTCGCCAGGATAGCCGCACATAATGATATTAAAATGCTTAGTAGTGAATAACACATTAATGACCGATGCCATTTATATAAAATGGCATATTCGCTCTGAGTCTTCAGGACAATAACCGACTCATAATAGCCGCTATGTACTAATAACACCTGCATAGCAGAACTCTATATGGTAGACTTTTAAATCAATTAATCACATTTCAGCATAGTCCGACAAATATCCCCACCTATTATAGAGACTCTAACTAAAGAGCCTTAAGTAGCCGTTTAACGTTCACAGTCTTAATCGTTGTACGTATATTTTCGCTCTCTAGAATCTTTAAAAATTTTTCTAATTATTATTTACCTTTGTTTATATTTTGTTCAACATCTAAAAATTTTGGTAAATATGTTATCGTTCTAAACCGTTGTTACGCTTCGTCTTTTTAAAAACTGTACTGAGTTTAAAAAAATAATTATTAACATGGCTGGTTCAATTGGAAACATGGCTGCAGTGTACAAGAAGAATTTACCTATGTTCCACAACACCACCGCAAGACTGATTAGGTCTACATCTTACGGTGGACTTTCTCGCCCGTAAGTTCATGCATATTGGTATCGACCGACTGGACTGATCGCCGTTCATTTGGTAACGCTGTCGCGGCATGTTAAAATAACACCGGATTTTCTAAAACGTATATTTTCGCGATGGGTAATATGCTATCATTCTGTTATGGATCGACACTAAAAATACTAAGCGTACGTTATTTTGAAACCGAACTTTCTCATATCAGTATGGTGTATGGCAGAAAATGTGCTAACGGTGGTAAAACTCATGAAGAATTGCAAGTACCTGTTAAATCAGAAGGACCTTCTTCAACTTCAGTATTTGGAATGGTGCTATTTGAAACGATTACACGAAAATCAATTATAACAACCAGCTGTCTAAACAATTCGAAATAATTTTAAAACTATATCGATGTTGAATTCTATATCATAAGTTGATTCACCACCGAAAATCGAAGAATTGTACGACTGCCATCAGAAATGTGCGCGATGATGTAATTTCAAAATTGCAAAAAATGATGTCAATTTCATCAGTCAGCTGAAAATGTTTGCAACAAGTCAGTAAATTAGCTGAACAATGGGCACAGAGATGGAGCGGAGAAATGTCACCCGAGGTAATTTAACCTATCCTTTATGTCGCTTGTAAAAATATTTAATGTATAATTATTATTTTATAGTTATTCACCGAATCCGAAATGAGGCTCATTTCACCCTTGTCGCCATCAAAATACTCGGATATGTCGCCAATGCACGAAGACGCTTCGCAGGTACAGGTAATTTACGATTTATAAATGTAAATAGTTTAAATATTAATTTTTATAATTTTGTAGGCAGCTGATGAGGATCGTGGTGTTGATGAATTTTTAGCACAGGCGACACGGGCACCAACCATGACATTGGTAATACTCACATTTAATTTTTAAAATAAATATATATTAACAAATTATTATTTGTATAGCCTATTGATGATACCGATGGACTAGCACAGACGGCCATAGACAAACGTCATAGACGTGATTTGTACACTGATGCACAGTACCCTCCATGGTATATAATACCACAATATATAGAACCAGCGAGCCTCGCAGTTGATGAGAACGACGGTCCGACGTCTTTCAACCACTCGCCATCAATTCTAGACTTCACAGGCGGCAAGTCCACGAACAAAACGGAACGTAAAACGCAAACTCTTTTTGAATGATATTGTTTAAATAATTTTTGTGTAAAATAAAAACAAGCGTGATACTTAAACAAGTATTTTTATTTATTAGATTAAGTTTTTACAATAAGGTTTACAATTTATATTTTTAAAAACAAGGTATAAAAAAAAAAAATAATTATAAAGTATATAAAATATATACAAGGTTTACAATTTTCTGACATCGCCACTAAACGGACTGTAAGTTATAATCTGGTCATGTAGTATTAAACAATAAGCTGCAGTCTTTTCTGGAATAACTGTGTCCGTTTCAAAGTCTATTCGTAGGTCTACGGTCGATGATTTAACGTTATCATTCTGATACGACAAATCAACAACGACGATTGGCACATAGTTTTGGAAAATATGTTTTGATAATAATGGTTCACAATACTCTCTTTCGTAATACGATTTTTGAAAGTCTGTATAAGCTTTATACAGTACGCTGGTAGGATTATTTTTAAAATCAGCTCGAAAGTCATCATATGGATACACTTCAGAGTTTAAGTGTACCTTAAGATTTTTCAGTTGACAGTGATCAAACCGTCCAGCGTCAACTTCGATATTGTTTTTTCTACATAAACTGAATGACCGTGTAATGTTATTTGCGAGCGGATTAAGCGTGAAAAATTAGATATATATACGTAGTGACTTTTTTCTTCGACAGTGAATAAAATGATGTCGAAATGCTCGGCTTTTTCATTATCTACTACTTTTAATGGAAATATGTGATGATTCGGATTTTTTGACGAAGACTGAGATATTTTTTTAACTCCGTAAATATTTACAGAGACTGTCGGGTTATATTTTTCAAAAATTTTAACCCCACTCCACGGTGTTGGGAATGATAAGCCTGTAAAATTATATTTGTTTTCATGTCGGAAATAATTTTCGCCTACACGATGTTTATTTGGACCTGTCACGTGCCTCGCTAGAATGGACCATTTAAAACAATGCTGATCATTATTTTGCGGATTGATCGTCGCCCGTTTATTTTTGATTGAAAAAGGGAGCTGAATATAAGATGAGCCAGCTACAGGGTTAAAAGTATCATCACGATTCTCGTTTTCATTTTGTCGGTTATTATTCGGCGTGTTTAACGTAATATTATTTCGAATATCTGGGTTGTTATCAGTATTATGATCATTTACGTCATCATCGTCATCGCGTTCGTTATCAAAATTGATAACGGGCAGGCCAATGTTAGGGGTTCCCCCCATAGGCGTATATTTGTATACTGTTAATAAAAGCCCATCGATGGATTCTAATACATATCCACTACCCTTTGCAACATAAATTTCCTCCTCGTGCAATAACGTAGTGAACGCCTGCTCTATTAATGAAACTATATCAGAATCGATAAAAATTTCTCGGGCCGATGTCTTGAATGACCTATTTTGCGATGAGTTATCTACACGCGTTTGGTTATAAGTGGCTTCAAGTTTTAAATTAAATTTTATCGGATTCACAACTACAATTCTCCTTAATAATCGGACAAGCTCAGGTTTTAAATTATCGAGAAATGAAAAATATAATTTTCATAATTATTCAGATTTTTAGCATAATACCATACGATTTTTCGACTATGTGCGGATTTAACCTCAGCGAAACCCGGTGTATTAACCATATCCATACGAGCCTTTTTAGATTTAATACGGGATACTATATTTTCTACGTGTACGCGCTTTCTTCCTACCGTAGTCATATAAGTGTGGCGATGTGAACAATACACAACGAGCCGCCCAAATTATTTACGATGTCGACAGCGTACAATAGGAAAAACCCATGTTCTAGAATATTCCACGATGGTCTCGCTAGAGTATATTCGGGGATGTTCTAGAACAAAGCGGAGCCTATAAATACCAGCTGATCAGATGCTCAATTTTCATTCCGTCAGTGACTATGTATCGCGACTTACTGTGTTGTTCAGTTCGCAGTAATATTGTACGCGTAATTAGTATTTGTTATATTTCATTCTTGTACATACATATCACAGTAATATAGTGCTTAATATTTTATAAATTGTGAGTGATTATTTATTACCATAAACCACATAAGAATCTACTTATAAAAATAAATATAGATAAGTATAATTCTAGCGCCGATAATAATAATAATAAAAAAAAAAAAAAAATCTTACTTGTCATATCGCATAGCCCAGCATCTTGAACATTTTCTAGAACTTCACAGCACATTTCATCGTACCCATCGTTAAAATCTTCGTTCGGAATATTATTGTTGCGTCCCTTATGTCAACGTCGATTCATATATCAACGTAGAAATAGAAATACTAATGTTTGCAAGTTAAAAGATTAAGTCTTTATTTAATACAATTAACTCGTACAAGAATACAATTTTATAAGCACAAGATGGTGTGAGTGGTGTTACGACCTGCCTCTGAAATACTGATAGACGAGACCGTGAGTGGTGTTACGACCTGCCTCTGAGCGTCTCGAATATCCCTAACCGTCTGCTGAGCTCTTGCCCTGGTCTCCCTTATATATGGTTAACCGTCAAGAGTGGTGACTGGGGAGGTGGTGACTTCCGATGACCTAAGGAGCTCTCTAAATTAAATGTATTATTCAGTTGGGTGCCTTTCCTGCGATTTCATCGGTTCTAAGAATTACAAGACGTGTGATCAAGTCTTAATTGTCATATTAAATAGTACAATGTTAACACTATCGTTTACTCATCATTTCTGAGAAGTCCAGGACGTGTGATCATGTCTTATTCATTATATTAAATATCACGATGTGCAAGTGTTCGCCATAGCCGTTCGATACTACACTGTTTGAATATGTTATTCCATCGGTATATACATCACCTCTCCGTATAATATATATGTGTAAAATAACACGGTACGTAACACCTCCCTTCCAAAAAAAAGATTTATGTTTTGTAAAAAACAGAAATCTTAAAAATTCGCGTATTATCTTAATTTTTAAGTGTTAGTAGTTTCACATTTTTTTTCTTTTCTTTTGTTACATTTTCGCTTAATATTAGTATTAGTATTTTGGGTTATGATAAAATATATTTTGCTACTTATTAGCAATTACAATTAAAAGTAACTTCTTAATAACTAACACGATTTTAATCAATCGTGCTTACACTTATTTCATACATGGAAGTTAATATCATATATTCTATTCCTGAAAATACAAATTTTAGTTAATAATACATTATTAGAACAGTTTTTATAACTGTTTCATGATTTCACTTAATCATGTTTTACATTTTTTTTTTTTTAACTATTCATAACTGAAAATTTATTAAACATTAGTACACAAATTATATACCTTCTCTGGTCATAATGCTATTACGGAAATTTTACTTTAATATAAATTAAATTATTATATAACTATACTATTATTATTTTCTATTAATTAGGTTGCTCACAATTATGCACATTTTTTTAAAACCCCCTTCATCCGTCCCTGGGTAATGGTATAATTGCATAATTAAATATTGCCCTATTTACTAATTATTTGCATAATTTAATAAATCGGATGCCTCCGGTACTATATCTATTAGTTCTGCCAAATACTGACAGTGTCCAGTTTCAGATCCGAAATCCTCCATTACTTTTTGTAAATTAAATTTAGCTCGCAATATATACTGATTATCAAAAGGTTCCAAAAAAATTTCCATTTGCTTCCAAGATATGCCTAATGAGACAAGTAGGCACTGTTTCTCCCCCCGGTTCCCGGATATAGGTATGACCTCCTTGCTCTATGGCTTCCTTGAGTTTCATCAAGAACTCCACGCTTTTTGTTGAATTTCTAAAATATTACAAGTGTTATGATAAATTCCTAGTTTAATTTGCAAATTTTATATAGCTGTATAGGTCCTAGCTTTTTAATAATATAATTGAAAATGCATTTTGTTATAATCACGTCCGCTACCGGATCGTGACTATGTGTAATATTGTGATTGGTTTTACATACTAAATCATGTGTTTCCATTAAATTTAACATACGACCGTTTTTTTCTTGATATCCTACCCTTTCTGTATATATAAGTTTGTTTATATTATTTGTATTATCTATTAATTTAAGATTAAAATAATTATCATTATCATCACTATATGCAGTTATATTTAAAAGTTTCTTTATTCGTAGCCTTAACCTTTCTATTATCTGTTTGTCCGTTGTTCCGTTCCAGTATACGAGTATGGGTATTCTATGGTCTGCATACAAGTATTGGTTTAGATAAGTAGTCGACAGAGTTGTTTCCCCCTCAAGGTTTATACTGGCTTCCAGTTGCCCCAATAATGGTAGTAACAACTCTGGCTTATTTCTAAATATCCGCCCAACACTCTGCATCACCTGTTTGACCTCCCTTCGCTTTAACATTTTTAGTTTGTTATCAGTTGTTAAGATGATTGGTTTTCCTTCTAATTTTATCGGCCTATACTTGTTTAAACTGTTTGAAATCGCCCCTGATACGAGTAGTAGGTAGAATTCAAAATCCACTATGATAAATTTAATCTGGTCACTGTAAAATATAATTAATTTATTACTATATATATATCTTATACTTTTTTATCCTAATTTTTATTCCTCGGCGGCCGCTGCTGCCTGTATTACTTCATCCATTAATATTGCTAATTGTGAACAAGTTGGTTCACGCACTTCACGCACTATTGCTATTAATTCTAATGTTTTCTTAATTATTTCTTTTACTCTATTTAATTCAAGCGGCGTATATGGGTTTACTAAATGTTCGTTCGCTATTGTCATATGGTGATTTAGACGTAACATTATTTACATTTCGAGCCTGATTTGAGGGGGCCGCTGGCTGATCTGATTGTGGTCGTACGTGTGCAACAGCTTAAAAAAAAATAAATAAATAAATAAATAAATAAATAAATAAATAAATAAAAATAAAAATCATAATAAATTAATTAAATAAATAATATATTATGCCTACCATGGACGGTTTTCATATGTCTCTTCAGATGAGTCTTGTACTTGAACGTCGATGTACAAATAGTGCACGGTAAACGAACGCCTTCGTGCGTTTTCTCGTGCCTCATCAAATTGTCCTTACGCGTAAACGCAGATACACATTTTACACATTTATACATTATGAAAAGTATAAAATAAAAATTCACTAATAAAATGTAAAGACGTATCGGAACGAAAAATAAGTGCGCGATGGTTTAAGACTGACGACGTACTATAAGACTGTTGTCTCTTTCAGAATATATAAAGATAAATTTAAGTAGGTGGAGAAAAGATTTTTGTGGGTAGGCAGTGTGAATATTGGTATTTAATTAAAATTACATTGTATGAAGATACATCCGGCAAAGGGTACTAATATCGATCATTAATGTGTTGTTCACTAATAGGCATTCTAATATCGTATAAGAAAAGGTATGCGACAGCGCCAAATACCCATCTATTGGCAGGAAATGTATCTTATTGTCAAACCGACGTCAGACGTGCTTATCCCCTAATGTCGAGACCGCGACGGTAAAGTTTCAGCATAATAATAGTTTTTGCCATATATTTAATTGAATATGAATAATATACCTACAATAATAGGTATTTTAATATCGTTAAGTAAATATCTGCGACATCCTGACGACCGGCCGGGCACATTAAGCAGGCCGTTAAAATAGGCATTTGTTTAGAAATCGCCTAATTGCAGGAAATAGTTCTTATCGTCAATACGACGCCAAATATGCTTAATCCTTTATGTCGAGTTGGTAGAGTTTTTTGTAAGGTAGTGAGTGAATATCGATATTTAATTGATATGTCTCTTAATGTCTTTGAATTGTACTAATATCGAGGTCTACCTAATGTCAGGAAATTATTGTCGCCAGACGTGCTTAATATACGAAGGTATAGTTTTTGAATACGAATAATATATCTATTATTGTCGATTATTGCCTTTCAATCACTAATGTCCAGGTGGTGTGTGAATGATAAAGGGTCTTTCAATATAAATGGCGAGGAAGTCTAAATTTAATTACATTTTTTGTATATGATTTTCCTAAGTATAAGAGGTAGCTATAGAATATTTATATGATTATGTATATTATTTAGCGTGTATTTAAATATAGCAGTATTGACTATATTGTTCAATGGGTTAGAGTCGAGGTGGGAAGGAAGTCAAATGATACGCTCATACCCTCCCGGTTCGATTCTAACGCAGAATATTATATTTTTTAAATATATGATAACTGATAAAAATAAATTATTGATAACATGTGATAACAATTATAATATTTGATAACTGATAATATGTGATAACAATTTGATAACTGATAAATGATTGATAATATGTGATAAGCCGCGGCGGTTGAGGGTGGGATGTTGGTGAGGGGGTACGTCACGTACGTAGCGGCAGCGGCGGTGGCTGTGGGCGAGGGTGAAAATGGTGAGGGTGAGGTTTTTGAATCGGCTATTTAATCCTACTATATTGACCTAAAAAAGAAACTATCACAGTCAAAAAACATCACTTGGAACAATAAAAATCATGACCCTAAAACTTCAAGAGTCAATAATCAAGATCTCCCTCAACCAACATACTCACAGAATTTTCCTCCTCTGAATAACGAAGCTCCCCTTCTCATTCTCAAACAAATAACATAAATCCAAACCAAGATCTTACCACTCAACTATCATCATTTATAAATGATCTAAAAGCACTAATTAATCCATTCGTTTCACTTCTTACTACCGTCATCGAAAAACTCATAAAAAATCAATTAATAAACAAAACCACCATACTTTTGGACAACGGTATTCTTCAACAAATGAACTCAAATATACTCAATGAGGAAAAATTGAAATAGCACTTTACTGAAACATCTCACAAAATCTAATCAATATATTGTATGAAATAGTTGGAACCATCCAGATGAACAGCACACGGCGAGCTCACTAATGATCTCTAAACAAATCGAGACACTCTCCTCTTCCACCATAAGGCAACATATTCAATCAGCTACAACCATAAAATAAATTCACATATCTCTCTATATCATCTTGTTACTCTCCCGGGAACATTTCCACCTAGATAATCACTCTTCTTCAATCTCTCAGCCATTAGCTATATCATTGGCGCAGATTTCAACATAACACCAAACTTGGAACGTCTACTACACTAACACAGGGGCGTGTCTTCACACCTTATTACGCAAAACACATTCAAAGTATTATAAGCTAATCCGACCGTCAACTGGCGTCATCAACTCGTCAACCAGAACTAATTGACTTCTTTATTTCCAGCATTCCAAACTATCATCGACTAACATCACAAACTTAAATGACCTATTAGATCATAGCTCAGTTCACTTCACTTAGGAAGTTAACCCTTTCTTAAACAAAATCGTCCAACCATCACCCCGGATTTAAACTGGAACAATTCAAAGACATATTCAAGAAAATACATGCAATATTAAATTAAAATCGCCTACCGATATTGATGTACCAATTAACAAACTTAAAATGACTTCAGCTTTGAGCCAAAGAATCCTCAAGCCCTGAGACCAAACAAAATGCACCATCCAACCTAAGCTCCAGAACTAGGCCTTCTAGCTGAAAACGTAGAGCAAGATCTATATGGCAGCGTACTCACTACCCAGACGACAAATCAGATCAACATGCTCTCAAATAAACTCAAATCTCTATTAAAACGATAAATGACTCTACAAAATTATCTACAAATACTTTCTAGCAAATGGCCTCACTTTGGCGCAAAACAAAACTGAAAAAGACTCACACCTCCTCTCGACAAACAACTCTCGCAGTCACTGCGACAAGGAAAAGCGATACTTGCTGAAGAGATCAGTATCAGACCACATTCAATCCTCTACCACTGTTATACAAGAATGATCACAGAATCCTCTTCCACTTCTATGCCTCACCGCTAAACTCCACCCCTCACCAACTGAAGCATAACGAGACCATAACATACTAGCAACAGAAAATCTCCTGGTCACGATCTTAATTACAATCTAATTAAAAACCTACCCCCAAAACAATAATTGCTCTTACTCATATATAACTGCTACCTTACGCCTATCTATTTTCGACAACCTGGAAATCTTCAGATTCTCGTGACCTCAAACCCAGCAAACACCTGAAACCCATCCATACTGGCGATTAACCTTTTACCAGTTTTAGGTAAACCGGTGGAAAATATCGCTAAAGCACTTTCTCATAACTGAGACAAAACAAAACCTACCTAACTTTCATTCACTGGCTGCAATAATCACAATCCACCAGTACTACCGGTTCGACGCAATATCACTCGCCCTGAATAAAAATACTGTGCTGGAGTCTTTTTAGACGTAAAACCAGCATTGACACCGTCTAGCAGATGATGCCTTGCAAACAAAAGCTTTATTTCACTGCCTGTACCACCTCATCTTAAATCATGCATATCATTAAGTTCTGTACAACTTATCACTCAACTAACTTCATTATTGTGCGAGTTTCCACAAAGATGACATTGCCCTTCTAATACATAATATATACATCAGATCTACCTACATCAGAAAACACTCTCGGTACCTACGCACCGATGATACTGCAACTCTTATCGGCAAAGCTTCGATATACACGCAAGCCTTCAACTTCACAATACAATTGATACTCCATCTTGAGTGGTTTGATAAATGGAAATCAAATTAGTGAATCAAAGTCTCGCTAATACTTTTCCTCAGGCTATATAGCACACTCCTGGCAATAGACAACACCGTATTTACACCACTCAAATGGTAAATATCTGACTTGATGGCTGACCGGCACTAACTGTTCATCCCATCTAAGACAAACGGAAAATTAAACTGGACTTCACCTATGGACCACTTCTGCGATCAGAACATCACTGCCATAAAATTATATTACCACAAAACTCTCTTCCACTGTGGGCGCATAGTTGTAATAGGTTCTGCCGAATTAATAAAGAACCATCCATTCCAGATATCTGCTGCCGCATAGCGCTGGAGCTCTGTTTCGTCACTAATAATTCAATCGCTCAGTCTCCAAATTAGCTCAGATCGCCAAACTGCCCTCTCACTGACGCTGTCAAAACTTCATTAATCCCAGCAACATCGGGACAACCCTTTCAGCTCTACAAATCCAGCCAGACGTGTGAACTGGTGTAGACTTAAAAATCAATAGACAAAACAAAGCAAATTAATGCATGCAAATGTGAAACTGTATAAACTATAATATTGTAATAACCGTAAATTCTGTTGTGGTAAAGCCGCCTGATTCCCTATTAGAATACCAGCACCATGTTACTATCATTCCCAGCTTCTCCACCATATTATTGTTGCTTATTGTACAAACATGTATGGTGTAATACTTAATAAATATATATATTTAAAAACCATACATTGACACATTATCGACTGTAACATTGACGAAAGTGATAACGCGATATCTGTTATTTACACGGATAGTGATTTGGATATTATTCCTATCTTCCTAATTTTAATACTATGACCATAAAAAGTTGTTTTATATTGTTCTGACGTATATAATGTATTGTAATTGAGCAATACATGAAAGCCT